GCAGGTTGAGGCTGCAGTGGCCGGGAGCATGCCACTGCCCTCCAGCCTGGGCGACAGAGTAAGACTCCAACTCAAAAAGAAAAGAAAAGAAAATTCTGATTAACTGTTGATTCACAATCATTAGTATGAGGAGTTTCAGGGCATGGTAACAGTATTCTTTTTGGTAAGTGTGATAATGATATGCCACACCTGATCTTCCTGAGACTCCTGAAGTGCTCTGCTCTTGAGGCTAGCTACTTAGGAGGAAGATGTCTATGTGACCAGTAAAAATATAAAAATCCTCAGCTGGGCCTCCATTTTGGACTACCTGGTTCCAAGGTGTTTGCCTGCACATCCGCAACCCCTGATGTGAGAAAATGTACCCTGGCAAGGCTTTAAAGCAGGGGATGATAGTAGCATTTACCTGGCCTCTCCAGACCCCTTGCTGTGAAACAATCCCCAGCTGCAATGCACATATTTACTTTTAATGCCATTGCTATATTGTGCCATTGCTATAATGAAGGATTTTCAGTTTGGGTCCTGTGAGTCTTCTTTGGCAGTTAAACTCCAACTATGTTTAACTGCCATCATCATGAATAATAACACATAATGATGCACACTAAAGTTTCTTAATATAAAAGCCTGAAAACCTTTTGTAGTGCTTTCAAACATATAAATTCAATGTTCATTAAAAAATTACTGTACTTTGGTTCAGATATTCTGTATTACTTATTAGCTATCCAGGTAAATATACGAAGAACAAGATTAAAATTATATTGTCACTTCTGGCTGAATGGACCTTTTGTTCTTTTATATCAGTAAACACTAAAAAAAATGCATTTCACCCACATCCATTAGGATGGCTACTATCAAAAAACCAAAAGCAAAAACACAAAAACAAAAACAAAACACTCTGAAAATAAGTACTAGCAAGGAGATGAAAAAATTGGAATCTTTGTGAACTGTTTTGAGATTATAAATGGTGCAGCCACTATGTAAAGCAGCAAGGTGGCACCTCAAAAAACTAAAATTAGAATTACCATATGACCCAGTAATTACATTTCTAGATACATACTCAAAAGAACTGGAAGCAGGGCCTCAAAGAGATACACCTGGGTTCACAGCAGCACTGTTCACAATAGTCAAAAGGTGAAAGCAATGCAAATGTTCATCAATGATTGATAGGATAAACAAAATGTAGTACATATATACAATAGAATATTATTTAGCCTTAAAAAGGAATGAAATTCTGATATATGCTACCAACATGGATACAACCTTGAAGACATTATGCTAAGTAAAATAAGTCAGTCACAAAAAAGACAAACTTGTTATGACTCCACTTAGATGAGGTACCTGCAGTAGTCAAATTCATAGACTGAAAGTAGAATGCTGGTTACAAGGCGCTGGGGTAAGGGGGATAGAGCTGCTGTTTCATGGTAGTGGTTTCAGTTGTACAAGATGAAAACAGGATGATGGTGACAGCAGTGACACAATGGTGTGAATGCCCTTAATGCCAATGAACTGTGCACTTAGAAACTGGATGCTATGTATAAGAGAGTTTTCCTGATACAAAAATTGTGTCTGGATGCTCATTTAATGGTTCTACTCATTTTGCTGGAATTGAGGGGTGATCTCACCATCCAGAAATAATCGCAAAGAATATTTCTCTTTTCAATACACTATTTTTTTTACACAGTTGACAATTTCTATTTGAGTTTCTACCTTTTTAAGTATACTGAAATAAAATTAATTAGAGACAATAACAACAGTAATAAATTCACTGAAATCAGCTCTGGGATCAGTCAAAGAACAAGGTTTAGGGTCAAACAAACCTACACCCCATTGCAAGTTCAGTCACTCATTAACTACATGGTCCTGGACAAAATTTCATTGAGTCTCATTTCCCCTATATGTAAACTAACACGCTACTTGTACAAATTGGAGATAATAGGTACCAAAGCATTGATCATACTGCCTGGCCCTTAATGGGTATTAAGTAAATGTTAGTTACCTTCCTTTCCTCCCCATAAGAAAAATACAGTAATATAATAAGTAAAATATAACAATTGTGACCTTTTAATTTTGCTACTATGCTTAGGTTTGCAAAGGTTTATGAAGAGCATATGCCTCATTTCAGATTTATATAGTTTGTGAAGTAATTAATATTTGTAGTAAACATTATAGTCTTATTTTACCTTTGTAGGTAGTAACATAACAACATGTTCCATCCACTTTTTCTGTTGGAATTGCACTGTATATGTCTGCATCTAATGCCTTGGGACTGACAGTCTCAGTTGCCAAAACTTTAAATGGCTTAAAAAAGAGAGAGAGAAAACTGGTTTAAGACAGACAGCCTTTATGCCTTTGCACACACTCTCCCCTAGAATGTTCTTAATTTCATTAGTTTCGTGAGCAAAAAAGTACCAGTCTTTGGTGAAACTTGCATTTTAATAAGGGAGACAATAGAAACAAAATATATAATATGTTTCTCATCACAAAAGCTAAAAGAAAAACAAATGGGGTAAAGAAAAGAGAGGGATGAAGTGCTATTTTAGATATAGCAGACAGGGAGGCCCTCTTTGAAGAGGCAGCATTTGAATAGATTTCAAGTGAAAGAATACACCATGTAAGTATCTGGTGGCGGGAGAAAGGTCCCAGCTCGCTCAGGAGGTTTCTTGATGTGTATGAAGAATGCAAGGCAGCCATTGTATCTGGAGCTGACTGAAGGTAAAACAAGGTAATGTGCTTCATCAACAAATGCCACAGGTGCTTCTAGCAGTTCAATACAAATATCTTTCCATCATAATTTTCAATTTTCCAATAATCAATCTACTCTTCAGTACACGGACAATCCCCCACTTTTTAAAACATAAACACTTTTATGATTTATCAGACTTGTTTTTCAATTAAAACTTGGTTTTTAGTGAGTCTTAGCAGAGATCTGGTAATGAATGTATTCTTGCCTCAGGCCATGTTCTCTGGGGGCAGACAAAAGATATGGGAGATAGTTCATATTTTGATTGTTTGCTTTTTTTTTTTTAACTTTTTTTCTTGAAAAGGTGATACTCACATGATCACTGTAGAATATTTGTAACATGAAACATACAAAAGCATAAACAAGAAATCATCCACAATATCACTATCAAGATGTGGCCTAATTCCTTTTGGTGTAATTTCCGTCTCTTTTTCAGTGCATTTTTCTCAGCTTGATTAACATCAATTTCTGTTTTCTTTTTTTTTTTTTTGGAGAAAGCAGAATTTATTGAGAGGACAGAAATGCTCCCAGAGCAGGAGGGGACCCATATGGAGGTTGCCCAATTTCTGTTTTCTATAGCCAAGTTTCTAAAAAAGCCAAGGCAAATGCTTTCTAGATTTATTTGTTTCATGTTTTCCTCCTCTACTGCATGAAAAACACAAAACCAATATTTTTTTCTTAATACTTAATATTTCATCACTGAAAAATGTTAACTATCATAAGCATAGGTTGCCTAAATTTTATCATCCTTTTCACAAAGCAATTATCATTAGTATGCCCCACTGTGATGGAGTTTGCATCTCTGTCTAAAAACACTTCAGAGCACAGATTTTTTTTTTTCTTTACCTGAAGAGTCAGCAAGGATCACAGATTTTAAAAGTATCTTAATTTCCAGAAGAATTCTATCCTTAATTCAGTTTTATATCCTAAGAATCTTCAGATGCATGATAAAGTATAATTTTCTCTTTTAGAAAATAATTATTTACTTGAAAGGAAAATTAACCCCTAATGGTTCCCTACCATTAATAGTGACTTCTTATAGCAGACAGATATGAGGGTATCATAAATTTCTGAGCTATATCGACTAGGGTTGTTTACATATTATTTGCTTAAAAATGTCCAAGACAGCAAAACAAAATGTACCTCTTTAAAACAAGTCTTTCTTGATTCTAAGTTAGACCTCACTCTGATAAGTTTTATCCACAGTTACTTGGCTTTCCCATGTAGTCTCATGAACTTTTTACTTTGAAAGTTATATTCAGGAGTTTTACCATGTTGATCTAAAAACTTCTGTAGTCACTCATTCAACAAAGCTTGAACATCTAATCTGTGAAATGCCTTGGCCCAGACTGCAAAGGCAGAGTTTAAAAAAGGAGTAAGACTTGCAGGAATCACCTCTTAGCTGAGATCTTAAATGAATACTCCAGAAAATATAGCTCTGCTGACGGCCTAAGCTGGTCCACTAGTCATCTTAGATATATTACAATGTGTGCCATTTATTTCAGTTCCAAGTCTGCACAATGAGTATGCATGATTTCAGGCTGATTTTGGATCGTTCACATTTTTTCTCCTAACAGGTTTCACTGTTAAAACTACTACAGATCACTCCTTGTCCCATTCAGCTTTAACACTGGAAAACAGCTTACATATTTAGTTTATGGTTTTTCTACTTTCAGGAAGGCAAAAGAGCAGTAAGGAGAAGAAAAAATATAGTTTCTTAGGCTCCTACCAACTTTTTAATCTGTCATTTATTTTCGTTTCTGAGAAAGTCTTATGCCATTGTTTTATAGTCTAAATCTGAAGTAACATCATCATACAATGTAAAACACTGCACCATATAAACATTAGACTGAGGTATACAAGCTTAAGACTAATAGAGTGTAAGCACTATTTCAAGTAGTCAAGTAAATTATTAAATTATCCCATTCTAGTACTTATTCAGTGCTTTTAAAATATAATTGATTGGAGATTTATCACAAACTTACGATGCTGTTATCAGAGGATATCAACTTAACCCATGGTGGTAGAACCACAGAGTGTGTGTACTTAAATATATCAAAGATTCTAGGGAGGAAATTACTCTGCCCATGGATCTCTTGATGAATATAAACATTCCTTCCATAAGACTCAATCATCTATCACTTTTTGCTATTGACATGTCCAAAAAACAATACAAGACATTGAGAGGTACATGGAGCTCTTCTCTTCCTGTTATCAAAGATTTTAGACTATTACTAGAAAAGGAAGGCATGTGTGTATAAAAAGGCACAGTGAATATCCATTGGGTTGTCCTCTACAATTCCTGGGTAGGGGAAATCACTTGGATGACTAAGTTGATCAAAGATTTCATGGAAAAGGTCTGACTTGGAAAATTAAAACATTCTGGAGGTGATCCAGGCAGTGAACAGTCTGAGCAAAGATATACAAGACAGGTTTGTGTTGGAATGTTGACAAAATAAAATAGACTGCTAAAACAGAGACTTCAATTTGAAAAGACTGGGCCTGATTAATGGGAGGCTTTGAATTATAACTCAGAACATGGGTGCTTTGCTATAAACAATACTTAACTGCAAAGAGATAAGGGAAGGGGCTTATTTTTCCTGAGGAGGTACTTCTACAAACTCTTCCCTCAACGTACAAGGAAGGAAGGACCCTAAGCACCAGGATTATCTTTTGGAGGGAGGGCCCCTTGTAGTACACTCAGAATTTGTTCCTCTGGATCAAATGGTCAACCAAAGTTTTTATTTGGAAGTTTTGAGGTTATGTCACGATTTGTGGAAGAAACGTCCGTCCTGAGTTGTGGAAAACAGGTTCTTCCACCATGATAAAGCACCTGCCCATACCACACTGAGTGTTTAGCAGTCTTTGACCAAAAACAGCATGAGCCCATGCATCACCATCCCTATTCACCTGATCTCGAACCAAGTGAATTTCTTTTGCTTCCCTGGATGAGAAAAGGCCTCAAAGAGATATGTTTTGCGGACGTGGAAGAGGTGAAACAAAAAACAGTAGAAGTACTAAAAGGCGTCAAAATGGACAAGTTCAAAAACTGTTTTGAGCAGTGGAAAAAAGTGTCTCAGTAGGTGTACTGCATCAAATGGAGAGTACTTTGAAGGTGACTGAAGTGTAAACATGTAAGAATACATACATACATTTTTATAAATAAATTTCAGGGTTTTTTTGTCCTCCCTCAAAGTAGAAAATCACAGCTAAAGTGAACCACCAACAGGGATGACAATGTATGAATTAGGTTTGTTAAGGCTTAAAAACAACAACAACAACAAAATGGTGTTTAACTATTGCTACAAATATTGAACAGTAATTGGGGATTTGTAACTCAGGAAGAATATGGTGATAATCAGTCTGGGTGGCAAGTAAGACCAACTAGGCAGTGCAGTAAACAGGATGGAAAATGTTAACTATATCAACAATGGTAGCAGTTGAAAGGAGAAAGATCAGATGTAATGAAGTAAAATGCATCAAGGTGAATGAAAATCTGGCATGAACTGACTCCAGGGTTCAACAAATATTTATCCAGTGCCTACCACGTCTAAGGTCCTAGAAGCTAGGACTAAAGATAGCAGAGTGGTCTCTGCCTTCAAGGCCTTTTAGTTTAGAACAGGGGTCCCCAACCCCCAGGCCACAGACCAGTAACAGTCTGTGGCCTGTTAGGAACCCCACCGCACAGCAGGAGGTGAGCCACAGTTGGGCCAGTGAAGCTTTATCTGCATTCACTGCCACTGTCAGATCAGCAGAGGCATTCAAGTTTCAGGAGCACAAACTCTACTGTGAACTGTGCATGCGAGGGATCTAAAAAAAAGAATGCACAATAAATGTAATGCACTTGAATCATCCCAAAGCCTCTCTCCTGTAACTCCTCCTCCCCAAATGTGGAAAAATGATCTTCCACAAAACCAGTCCCTGTTGAGGACCACTGGTCTAGAAAATCAAGAGGCCAGTGCAAATAATGAAATGCAGGGTGGATGGATTTCAAATGGACAGGTTGATTTTGAACAAGTTGGAAGCACCAATTGATAACCAGGAATTCTCCTGATCAAAAACGACAAAGCCTTTAATCATTAGAATATTAAAGAATTCTCCTGATATAGAGTACATACTATTCACTCACTAGCATTTACTGAGGGCCCACTATGTGGAAAACACATTGTTGGAACAGAAAACCTTGAGATGGGAACATCAAAGTTAGGATCAAGTCAGTAATTAATGAGGATAATGCAAGAGGTCTGATCTTGGACTTCCTTAGGCTGTCAACACTCAAACTGGTTCCCAGGTGAGAGCAGGTAAAGCAAGTATTCTAATTTACAACTCTTCTCTCTGTCCATCCCTCGCCCCCCCAGGTAAAGTGAGTATTCTAATTTATATCCTCTCTCTTTCTGTTTCCCCCCTCAGGTAAACTGAGAATTCTAATTTATATCTCCTCTCTTTTTCTCCCCCCTCCCCAGGAAAAGCGAGTATTCTAATTTATATCTCCTGTCTCTCTCTCTCCCCTCCTCAGGTAAAGTGATTCTAATTTATTATCTTCTCTCCCCGCTCCCAAAGTGAGTATTCTAATCTCCTCCCTCTCCCTCTCTCTCTGAGAGGCAGCCTCTCACTCTGTCGGTCTCCTGTCCCCCCCAGGACCCCCCTGCTCCCCGTCCCCCCACCCCCCACCCGGAGTGCAGTGGCTGTTTTTAGCTCTCTGCAGCTCCCATCTCCCGGGCTCAGGCGATCCTCCCACCTCAGGCTCCCCAGTAGCTGGCGCGCACCACCACACCCCGCTAATTGTTTTGATTTTTGTAGAGACGAGGTTTCACCATGTCGCCCAGGCTGGTCTCGACTTACTGGGCTCAAGTGATCTTCCCGCCTCGGTCTCCCAAAGTGCTGGAGTGACAGGCGTGAGTCACCGCGCCCGGCCCGTCCTCCCCTTTCTCACCATAGCCTTGAAAGGTAATGAAGCGTGGACTGCTGTGATAATCTGAGTGCCTCGGGGCTTTCCCCGCAGGTGCGACACTGGGAGGACAGGGACACTACTAGGATGTGGGATTGCCATTTCCCGGCGAGGGCAGCAGGAATCGCCCTGGCAAAGGAGACGCTCCCTCGCTGCTAAGAAAGCGCGAGCCCCTGGAGCTGGGGTGCGCGGGGCCCCCACCTCGGGCCTCCCCCGAAGGCACCCACGTAAGATCCCGGCCCTCGGGCCCAGCGCTCTCGGTACCTGACGCTCCCTCTTGGCTGAGGGCTCCTCCTTCCTCCGTCACAAACATGCCCGGCACTTTCTGCTGCACGGAACCCAAGCGCCTCATGACTAGCCCCGCGGGCCTTGGGAGTGGCGACGCGAATAGCGCTGGGTCCGGGCCGAGAGAAATAGACCGGCTCTCGCCGGGCGCGCGGCTCCATACACTCGCACTCCGCGCCCAGCGGCGGCGGCGGCTCCCACGCGACGCCCGCCCGGAAGCAGTCTCCTGGCCGCGACGCCTTCTGGGAGTTGTAGTGCAGGAGCCGGGGCGTCCGGTTCGCATCCACGTGCACCACCCCCTCCCGCCCCCCCCCCCGTCCCGGGTATTGATGACCATGAAAAAACAAAGATCCGTTTCCCGAGTCTGTGTTCTTAACCATCCAGTAACGATGATATTTTTGAAAATTGAATAATGCCAAGTTGTAAGCGATGAACATTTCAGATGGCGATTTAACACCGTTCTAATGAAACTTACTTGTCCTCTTTAATAACTTCATGGGGGAAGCTCTGTCGAAGTTTAGAAATATCTGGAGTCATCCCCAGTAGAATGAAACCTAGTTTTTCAGGAAGAATGTCAGAAAACGCTACAGTTAAAACACCTGGGACCCCCACCCACCTCCCCAAAGAGTTACCATTTGAATAACGACTCATTGTGCAGAATAATATGGAAATTTCCGAAGTGTGACGTTTAATCCAAAACTACAAGAATACCTACAACCAGATTTCAGTCTCAAGCTTTTCATAGGTATATTATTTATCTTAAAGAGTTCAAATGGCTCGAGTAGTTGTAATCAACTGCAGTTTTGCTCAAAGGCAACTCACATTATTGCTCAAAAGAATCTTAGCAGGTAATAAGATGGTCAACTAATGAATAAAATAAATATCAAATATTTAGTTATCATAGCTTATTGAAGATAGTAGTTCTCAGCCTAAAGTCATAGGGAATTTTGACTTTACTATCATCCTTTATGTGCTTGGACAAGACCCAAGTCCCATTTCTATAGTTGATCCACATGTATTCAACTGTCTGACATTTTACTGACTTAGCCCTTGGAAAAATTAAACAACTATATCTCACTTGTCAGTATCTATGTAGCAAAGAAGTTCTCAAAGAATAAAATATCCCTTAAAAGAAGTTGTGTTTTGATTGCTGAATTCAGAGAAGAGGAAGGTAGGAAGAGATTTGTCATTTCAAAGTGCTTACTTTCTTTTCTTCTTTTATTTTTTCACAGGAAAATCCAAAAAGCTCTCACACCCCACTCCCCAAATTTAAAAAATAAACAAAAACACTTGATGCTGGCTGTGTGGTATTGGAAACACACTTAGCGTTTTATAGTCCAGCTCCAGAGACTTATTTGTCCCTCGAAAGGAATCGGAAAAAGCAGCTTGTCCCATGAGTCTCAAAGAAACAACAATTAAATAACCTCCTCAGCTATCAACTGCCATTTCCCAAACTGCCACAGAATCTTCTAGGTTCAACATTCTGCCACTTCTGAGAAAGGATCATCTTTTAAAACATTCCACTGGATCTCTGAATAGTAGCAGCAGAGCCAATTATTTTTTGGGAAGTACTCTCTGTTTCCAACACTTTGGTTTCATCAGTGCCTGGAGCAAAACTTCTGACAGTAACACAAGAGTTCAAGTCAGGAGACTGCCACAGGATCAATTCACAATTATAAATTGGACTCTGATGGGTAGCAGCCATCAACTTTGCCTAGTTCTCATAATCCTGAAAGGTCACCAAGGAGTTGCTAACAGATACTGTACTTAAAATGATGTTACAGGATTACAAAACAAAAAAATTCTTCTTGTCTAATGTGTCAGTGTTCTAGCATGCATCAAAGATGGAAGACATTCAATATGAGCCTGCTTTGGCCAACACGAACCCTTGCAGAAGTTTTAGGCCTACTTCCAACTGTGGAGACAAATTTCCCATCATTCTTCATTATAGGAAGTAAAAACTCTGATGGGTAGGTTCACAGGTTTCTGTAAAAGACTAAATGAAATTCACAATAGGAAGAAAGAAAAGTGAAGAGAATAAAGGAAAAGGGGTGGGGGGGGAGAAAAGAAGAAGAAGAAGAAATCAGGACTCTAGGCATTCTAAAGACTACCAAAAAATACACATTAAATGTGGTCTGCAATGACAAAAAAGTTATCATGTGAGCTTGATTTCTATTTTTTTTTTTGAGTTGGAGTCTTTGTTGCCCAGACTGGTATACAGTGGCATGATCAAGGCCACCACAGCCTCCACCTGCTGGGTTCAGGTGATCCTTCCACCTCAGCCTCCAAGTAGCTGGCACCACAGGCCTGCACCACCATGCCTGGCTAATTTTTTGAGGCATTATAGAGACGAGGTATCATTAAGTTGCCCAGACTGTTCTTGAATTCTTGGGCTCAGGCAATCCTCTCACGTTTGCCTCCCAAAGTGTTGGGATTACAGACACGAGGCACTGCGCCTGACCAATTTGGTCAGTTTTTGCTGTGTCTACTGGAATGCTATAATGGTGTTTGGTGACAATATTTAAAAACAGTCTAAAAAAACTACAGGTTCAGAGGCGGAGAGAGAATTAATCTAGAGGCAAAGACCACTTAAAAATATTTCTCTCGCAGTCGGCAAACAACTGTTTCCTAACTTTTAGTTTCTTATTTTGTTTCTTAGATTTTTATCTGAAAGTATTGTATTCAAAAAATTTATAGCAACATAGCATGTTTTACTTAATCAAAGTGGGACTCATATTTATCTTAATCTTTTACATTTACTGTTAAAAGTATATGATAACAAAAATACATATTTATTGAGTATAATCTGACATTTTAATTGCAAATTTTAAGTTCCCTACAATCAATATTTTTATTAATTTCTCCTAGGTGGGCAACCCCTTCAGATCCTTTCCCACTGTGGGAGTTTTTCTGTCCTCTCAATAAATACTGCTTTCAAAAAAAAAATTTCTGCTAGGCTCTAAGATGAAGACCTCAATAACTGCTGGCTGAAATGTTTCGTTCTAGAGATCAGATAACTTCACTTTTTATTTTTCAACGAATTCTCAAAATTTTCAAGCACCCTGGAAACTTTCTGCTTTAAGAATAAGTTATTTCTCCTTTTATGATAGATGAAAAATAAATGGGTTATAGCTACAAGATGAATACATAGTCCAGTTTACTTTCAGGTACCTATGAATATATCACAAATTGAATACAATTTTTTCCCAACTCAGTAGATAGGAGAAAGTATGTATTTAAGTAACTCTTTGTTGTCTTAGAATATGAGTAGCATATTTACCTATTTAAAAATCATAATTTTTTTTACAAACCATATATAGAAAAAGGAGGATTTAGAAAATATCTATTCACTTGTGAAATACTCATTTTTAGTTATAAAAGTATAAACTAGTTTATATTTAATCAGAACATTGAAAGATGAAATATACTATTTTTTTTCTAGTCTTTTTTGGATAATATGCTAGAATTGAGTAAGGGAAATACAGTAATCACTCAGGTAAGCTAGCCTACAGTTACATGTGAGGTCATTTATGATGAGCAAACAATGGATTAGGCAACAATGAGAAAAATTCTGGAAGTCTGAGTTTGTGTGCTTACTAGCAACCACTTTCAACATTTCTGCAAAGCTAGAGAAGGTATCTTCTAATTCAAATTTTTTAAAGAATTATCTATTATGTAATATACTGTCAACAGGAGGTCAGTTTTCAAAGAATACTACTGATAGCCTGAAAGACTGTGGAAAAAAAATTATTTTTTCCCCCTTACACGCTGATAGTTCTTATATTTGCATTCCTGCAATTCTTGTATATATATTTAAAACAAAACATTGGATTAGCAGCAAGAGAGTTGAAAATGGCAGAAGTTGGGAATGACTGCTATTTCTTTTTTAATTCCACATGCATAAAGGTAAATATTGTACAATTTCCAGTAATTCACATGCTTAAGCTTTTTAGTAGAATGAAGTATCGCAATAATTTGCATCACTGAACAAAGTTTAGTATTTTCCCACAAGATATTTTATATAATTAAAATCGGGAGTAAAAGCTTATCATGTATTTTTGATACACTGAATTTCTTTGAGGAATTCCATAATTTAAAATTATGATTTGCTTGAAACTATCCTTATCTATGCCAGTTACATGCCTATAGCTTTTTAATCTTCTTGTGTCTGTTTTTCCTATATTATGACTTCTTGAGACATTGTATTCCTAATATTGAAACATTATATGATACATCATGTTGTTTTGATTAATGTGAGTTCAGTCATATACATTTTTTAAAACATTCTTTTTGTTGTTATTGTTTGTAGTGGTTTTAAAAGACGGGGTCTTGCTCTGTTGCCCGGGAAGGGAGTGCAGGGGTGTGATCACAGCTTACTGCAGCCTTAAATTCCTAGGTTCAAGCAATCCTACTATGTAGCTGGGGCTGACTACAGGCACGCACCTCCACACCAAGATAATTTTTTGTGTGTGTGTTGGAGTGGGGAGACAGGGTTGTGCTATGTTGCCCGGGCTGGTCTCAAACTCCTGACTCAAGAAATCCTCCCATCTCAGACTCCTAAAAGCACTGGGATTACAGGTGTGAGCCACTGCTTCTGGCCTCATATAAATTCAAATAGTTGAATCCAGGTCACTGTCAAAGTTAGCATAATAAATCTAATTGTTTCCCTATTTTGCATTTATTAACCCAGTTACTGAATTTTTCTCTGACCAGTCTAAGTAACAGCAAATATTTAATTATCATTAAAAAAGGATAACAGTAGTAATATGAACAAACTGACCAAATATGAATTAAAGTTTATAAAGTTAAATGGGAAAAAAAGCTTAACTCAAGGAATTAGAATAAAATTCTTAATAAAACCAAATAAATGTAGAAACCTGATGTTTGGAGCTTCATGCTCATGCCAGAATGAAACCAGTGAAAGAAATGATTGAATGGTTTAAAGTGTTTCATCTCTGCCAAGAAACCTGAATGGAGTCCCTCTTTGACCACAGAAATTAGATTTACTTCTTTTATCTGTTACCTTTAGATTAACCCCTGGGATAATAAATTATAATAGAATTCATG